TTTTCTTAAACTGGCACTCACTAAAAACCCTAAGAAACGACCTACGGCTGACAAACTGCTGCAAGTAAGTATATTATTGGTAAATTTATATCTATACTAATATAATAAAGCGTAAGTTATGGAAGATGTCAGCAATCACAGTATGTTTTTGAATAATATTTTAAGAAAAAGCTCTACACTCACAACACGCTTTAGACTATATCATCATCATCATCACCAGCTCACTATACGTCCCCACTGAGGGGCTCGGAGCCTACCCTATACGGGGTGACTAGGCCATATTCAACCACGCTGGCCAAGTGCGGGTTGGTTGACTTCACATATATTTTTGAATTTCTTCACCGATATGTGCATCACGATGTTTTCCTTCACCGTAAGAACGTCGGGTAAATTATGTACATATGAAAATTCGAAAAGTCTAAAATCACATTGGTACAGCGGGATTCAAACCCAAGACCTGTAGATTACAGGTCAAGTGCTTAAACCACTGAGCCACCGACGTTAGACTATATATTTTCACGCTATTAAACTTTGGAATAAATAGATCGGAACAAATTGTCATGGGGGAAAGTGACAAAGCCTACAAGCCAACAGCAAAGGAAATAAACTTGCTAAAGTGAACAGCCTTCGTTGTTATTTGGCATTTCAATTTTGACTTTGCTTTGAAATGTTATGCAAATGTATAGAATAAAATAAAGTTTTTATAATTGCAAGTGAATGAAACCGCACGGAAACAGCTATTTTTCATAAAAGTATTATAATAATAAGTATAATTTCGATAAATACTAGACTGGGTAGGTAACGTTTTATCAAGGAAATTCTCCTAATAAAATGAACCAAATTAATTTACTAATCATATAAATGTTATGTTCCCAGCACTCGTTCTTCCAGCAAGAAATGAGCAAGCGTCTAGCGATTGAATTGCTGCAGAAATACTCCAACCCACCCAGTCATTGCAGCAGCCAGGAGCTGGACGAAGACGGGGTAAGACCATATACCACTTTAATAGTCATTACAAGAAATTAAACACATGCAACTACTTAGTTTTTGATAGAAAATAAATTGCGCCTGCCAAATATATCGCGGCAAAATACGATATAAATTGCGCCTGCGATTAATATCGCGGCAAAAATTCAATGAAAATTGCGCCTGCCAATAATATCGCTGCAATTTTACAACAAATGTAGTTTTGTCGTGTTTTCACTGTAATAAAATCTTTTACTATATCATGTACTTATCTTTTTCAGGCAATATCGAATGTACCACAACGTATAGCGTCAAAGCACACCGGCCGAGGTCGTAGAGTGTTAGGGGAGCCCGATATACCGGGGGCTCCGCCCTCCAGACCTAGAAGTCTGGCAGATAGGGCTCCAACGAGAGCATTAAAACCTGTCACTCGTGTGTCAAGACCTACGTCATTGCTGGATGAGATACCAAACCCAAGGTTGCTGGGTGAAGTGCCTCCGGAAAGAAGAGTGTATGATGACTCTCCGGTGGTCGATTTAGATGAAGATGATGAAATGGGACTGAGGTCAATGCCGCAGGTGATCAACTTCAGTGCTGATGTTAGTAGAAGTTGTGATGGTGATACGGTTAAAAGAAATGGTAAGTGTTGCCATGTATTAGTTGTCAACATTTATATTAAAATATTTTTATACAGGTGATACTTGAATGATGAAAGCTTTGTGTAGATGTTTTTATGTTTTCTTTTGTATATAGTTTTCATGTGAAATATTGCAAAAACAGGAATAACAGTAGGAAATAGGAAAGCGCAATTATTAGACTTGTTAAAGAAAAAAATGACCACTGTAAAAAGATTATTTTGGCACACGGGCAAATTTTTGTCCGAAATCTGATTTTTACGATTTTTTGAACAAAAAACTAAATAACATTTAAACTATAAAAAATCAAGTAACATACTTTGCGCTTAAGATTTATATGTACCTCCACAAATCTTGTGATCCATCTGTTAAAAGTTAAAAATCATCCTGTATAACTTTACATATAGGACCACTACTGGAAATAAACACATATCTATGAAAGTATACATTAAAGTGATCTGTCTGTGTCTGTCAGTACACACTATTTTGAAATTACCATTTATTACTTCCATTCAAATATACGCTGCAAACAGTACTAAAGTATTGATCTTTCGTTTTGTTATTTTAAGTAAATAAAAGATTCCAGTTATAAACAGCCTTAAACATAAATATATCTCTAAATATATCCACAGCTGAATTCCATAGACAGACGAGCGACGACTGGAGCGTAGCCTCTCTTATGAGTTGTCCTAAACATAACCCACTGTCCCAGGAGTTACAGGATCTATCTACGGATACGATGCCTTC